GCTGGCTGAGCCTCTCCAGTGATGCTGCTGGACTGGGAGAGTAGCTGGCAGGGCAGTGCTGGTTTGCTGTGCCCTGGGAGGACAGTTCCCATAAGGCAGCTGCAGCAGGACAAGGAGAAATGCAAATCCAGAGGGGAATAAAATGGGATTTGTACTAGAGAGAAAATCAGTGTTGGGGCTGCCACCTACCCCCTTTAAATGGCAGTGAGTAACCGAGCCTGTGGACTTCAGCCCCAGCTGCACCTCAGGGGTGCTCCAGGGATGGACACACGGACTGAGCCAGGGATGATTTTGGAGGCTTCAGGGCACAGAATCACTGCTGCAGCCCATGCAGCCCCAGGGATGGGACCACTAGAAGCTGCAGAGATCTCTGGGCTGTGGGAGCTCTTACAGAGATCACTGGGTTGTGGAACCCACATAGATTGCTGGGCTCTCGCTTGGGAAAGCACAGGGGAGCAGGAGTTGCAGGTGCACAGTTTAATAACTGGAATAAGCAGCTGCTTGCAAAGTTGAGTCTTGTGCATGCTGGAGGGAAGACAAGGGGAGCCCCAAGCACTGGAAGGGGGTGGTGGGTTGCACCCAGGAGAGAGCATCTCCACATCCTAATTAAATGACTTCCCAGCCTCATGTTTCTAAATTATCCCTCCCCCCCCCCCCCCCCCCAGCTCTGAAAGCAGCACAGATGAGCTGCAGGGCTCGGGGAGGCTGGCTGTAAGTAATCCTCTCATTATCCTGCCCTGCTCCCCTCCTCCTCCTCCTGCAGACACAGCCGAGGATGAGGTAAGCACCACGCAGCATTCCAGGCTGCCAGCAGCGGTGTATCAGCAGGGGAATGGCAGGTGGCAGGGTGGTCTTGTTGTCCCCTTGTCCCTGCACGATGTGCTGGTGGCCAGGCAGACAGGTACCCAGGTCATTCCAGAGTGTTTGTGCTGTCTCAGCAGCCCTGCAGCCGCAGCTCTTCCTTGTCTCAGCCCTTTCCAAGGAGCTGTGCAAGCGAGGGCACAAACGCCGTGGGCCCATCGCTGGGGCACAGGCTCCATCCAACACCAGATGCATCCGCTGCCTCTGCTTTGGGGCAAGGCAGGAAACGGCCACTGCCCCACGTGGAACACACCACACACACACCAAACTGCAGCTGCTGCCCTCGGTCATCTTAGCGGGTTTTCCAACCTTACAGATTCTATAAAAGGAGAATAAATCTTCCCCACATACACAGGAGGAGGCATGGAATGAAGCAGTGGACTGAAAGTGCCATGAGGAAGATTTAGGCAGGCGACCAGAAACGTTTCCTGAGGCAATGACAGCTTGGCCTGAGGTTGTGAAACATCTGTCAGATGCTGGCAGGAAGGAGCTGCAGCGAGTGGCTCCTCTGGAGCCAGGATGGGTGATTTCTCAGTACCCCACACCTCTCTTGCTAGGCTGGAAGCATTCTGGGGCAGCCAGTCCTTGCTGGAACAAGAGCCAATGCACCTCTGGGCATGGCAGCACACTCAATATCCTAAAGGAGATGAAAGTGCTCAAGAAAAATACTTGGAAAACACAAAACCCCCTTTTCTGTGTGGCAGGAGCAGCTGGAGCCAAGCTGGAGGATCCACTGCCCAGCCCTGCCTCCAAAGTTAGTAAGTGCTACAGCAAGAACTTTGGGATCACCTCTGTAACTTACACCAGAGAAGTTCTACATGGAATCAGGCAGTGAGCTTCCCTGGAGCAGTAATGCTCATTTTCCAGAAACAGGCAGCTGGAGCAGTCCCAGAGCACTGCAGCAAAACAAGCTGGCAGATCCTTCTGAAAGGTGACAGGGACAGTCAAGGCTTCAAAAGGCCACTGAGCAAAGTAAGAGCTACTCAAGAATTCTGGATAAATACCATTAGTGGCAATCAGTGTGGATTTGTGTAACCTCTGTGCTCTGACTCAGGACCTGGAAAGAGGCAGCAGTGCTGGTGTGCTGTAACACCTTCATTCAAAACATTCATTGTAGTAATTTTGACTCTAAAAAGGAAAAATCTAGAAACAGAGAAATGAAATCATCTGTGACATGTCCATAGATACTGGATGATTTTCCCCTCTTAATTCCAAGGTCCATGTGCTCCCAGGTCATAAATGACTCTTGGACAGGCACAGGCACAAGGCCAACAGCACATCAGCTTCAGGTGAGCTTTCACAGTTTAACAACAGGAGTGAAAACAATTCCCTGCTCCAAGCCTTTGGCCAAGGCACCTGCCCTTGGCTATGGAAATGGTTCCAGCTGATTCTAAGTTTAATCCAATGTTTTCTGCTACAGCCTTTCCAAAAATCTCCCCTAAGAAAAAATACATGAAACCAAACAGCTTAAGAGTTAAAAGGAAGCTTGGGTTGCTTCATGTACTTCTCTGCAACTGTCTGTATTACCTCTAGGGGATTAAAACATCTTGTCCTACTTTGTTTGCCACGAGCCCAAAGCAGAAGCTGCCAGACAGTGAAGCATCTCCGTTCTTTGACCTCATGTTGCCAAGACAGCAAAGAGGGACTGAAAGCGTGACAAAGCCAGGGGCTGGTGCTCACAGGGCAGCCCTGACTGCCCTGCTCCTTCTCCAGCTGGTGGGGCCTGCCAGGGAGCTCCTGGTCCTGGAACCCCTCCCAGAGATGCTGGAAATCCAAATAGGTTTCCTCAGCAAGTGTTCTGTGGGTTTCCAATGGGGCAGGAAAAAAATAAGGGTGTGGGCAAGGACAAATGAAAAGGAAAACATGTCCATGCCTGAGGCCAAGCCAGCTGAGCAGAACTGTTGGACAGTAAAATGACCAGGAGGTGAGCAGGACAGGGGTGGTGACGAGCAGCCACTGCAGCCTTCAAAGGTAAAGCCAAGGAAAGCAAGCAAGAACCTGGAATGAAGGATGTGGATGGCTGGGCTGTTCCTGGGGGCCAGAAGTGGGGAGGATTAAGGTTTTCTCTCCTGCGAGCCAAAGAAGGCCACTGAAGACACGAAGGATGTTCAAGGAGGAGGCTGTAGTGGGTGAGATGTGTGAGGACTGAGGATTGTAAAGCAGTGGATGGAGTGGACGTTGAATTTTGCATGAAAGACACCCAGGGAAAACATGGATCTGGCACACAGCATTTCAGAAATATTTACAGTTAAACAGAAGCATGGCCATGACCTTGTGATTATACAAAAGATACTACAAAATCAAATTATTTTCTCCATCCACAGATAGTAGGGACAGGAAAATTAACTGTAAGGGACCTCAGAGAACTATTCCAGATGAAATAAACTTAACAAAAAAGTTTATCATCAAAAATGAGTAGGAAAGTACTCTTTTATGGTCCAAACTACACATTTCTAAGATGCTGTGCCTGCTGAAAGCAACTTCACATGGGACTACCTGACATGAATGTACAGAAGGTTTATAATTTCTTCCTAAAAATATTCATTTAAAAATGTGGAGTACTCCAGGGGAGATGACATAAAGAAAAATTCTTTCTGAGATGTACTGATCCATTTACACATCCCATCCCACCTGCATCCAGGGCAGGAGATGATTCTGGTTCCTGAACACTTCAAAGCAGTCTGATGGCAAATCCCCTCTGCTGGCCACCATCCATCTCGTGTGGTGAGCCCTGGGCTCTGGTAGGTCCCCAAACCTCCAGCAGGGCAGACTGGAATGGGTCCTTGACGTATCCTTGATGTAAAGCTTGGGCTGCTCCACCATCCAGAGGAGTGACATCATTTTCATCAGCTGGAAAGAAAAATTGTCCCTCCCTTGGTCGGGAACTGGTCTGTACTGGTTTAGCACAGGCTGGGAGAGCTGGGGGTGCTCACCTGGACAGGAGCAGCTCCAGGGAGAGCTCAGAGCCCCTTGCAGGGCCTGAAGGGGCTCTGGGAGAGCTGGAGAGGGACTGGGGACAAGGGATGGAAGGACAGGGCACAGGAATGGCTCCCACTGCCAGAGGGCAGGCATGGATGGGATATTGGGAATTGGGAATTGTTCCCTGGCAGGGTGGGCAGGCCCTGGCACAGGGTGCCCAGAGCAGCTGTGGCTGCCCCTGGATCCCTGGCAGTGCCCAAGGCCAGGCTGGACATTGGGGCTGGAGCAGCCTGGGACAGTGGGAGGTGTCCCTGCCATGGCAGAGGTGGCACTGGGTGAGCTTCAGGACCTCTTCCAGCCCAACCCATTCTGGGATGCTCGTTGCGGGGAGAGCCCGCGTCTGGAGGCGGCGGAGGCTCGCCCGGCTGTCTGGCAGGCCCCGCGGCCGCTGTGAGCCCGTCACGGCCGCTGTGAGCCCGTCACGGCCGCTGTGCCCCGGCCCCGTCCCGGTGTGAGGGCTGCAGGCCCGGCCCCAGGGCTCCCCCCACCCACCACCGCACGTCCCCGCCGCCATGGCAACGGGGAGGGGCGGGGCTGCGGGAGGGGCGGGCTGCGGGAGGGAAGAGGCTGCGGGCGGGGCGGGGCGGGGCTTGGCTGCGGGAGGGGCGGGGCGGAGGGGGGGCGGGGGGGGCGGGGGGGCGGGGGGGGCGGGGGGGGCGGGGGGGGCGGGGCTGCAGTGACTGCGGCCGCTGGCCCCGGGGCCGCCTTTCCGTCCTGGTGCCGCTATCCTCCCCGTGCTCCCCTCTGCCCTCAGTGCCGCTATCCTCACTGTGCCCGCCTTTCCCTCCTGGTGCCGCTATCCTCACCGTGCTCCCCTCTGCCCTCAGTGCCGCTATCCTCACGGTGCCCGCCTTTCCCTCCTGGTGCCGCTATCCTCACCGTGCTCCCCTCTGCCCTCAGTGCCGCTATCCTCACGGTGCCCGCCTTTCCCTCCTGGTGCCGCTATCCTCCCCGTGCTCCCCTCTGCCCTCAGTGCCGCTATCCTCACGGTGCCCGCCTTTCCCTCCTGGTGCCGCTATCCTCACCGTGCTCCCCTCTGCCCTCAGTGCCGCTATCCTCACGGTGCCCGCCTTTCCCTCCTGGTGCCGCTATCCTCACCGTGCTCCCCTCTGCCCTCAGTGCCGCTATCCTCACCGTGCCCGCCTTTGTCCCCGGTGCCACCATGCCGGGCCCACCCTGCGGGTCCCTGCTCGACTACAAGACTGCCAAGTTCTCTCTGACGCGGAACCGGCGGGTGGGGCTGTTGCACCGGCTGCTGCAGCTGAGCGCGCTGGGCTACCTGCTGGGGTAGGGCCCGTGCCCTCGGGCTGGCCGCTCCCCGCTGGGACAGGGACATGCTCCCAGCCCTCGGGCTGGCCGGGGCTCCCTCAGAGCCCCCCGCACATCCGCAGGTGGGTGCTGCTGCTGCGGAAGGGGTACCAGGAGCGCGACACAGCCCCGCGTGTCGCCGTGGTCACCAAGGTGAAGGGGGCGGCCGTCGCCGAGGCCGCGGGCCGGCGGCTCTGGGACGCTGCGGATCTCACTTGGCCCCCGCAGGTACGGCCGGGCCCCGGGTTGGACAGGGAGGTCACACATACGGTCAGTCATCTCGACAAGGGGATGCCGCGGGTACCACAGGTCTCCCAAAGTCCCGGCAAGTCCATTAGTGCCTGTTCTGCCCGTGGTGTCGCAGGGCGTGCCCTTGGACCACCCTGGTGTCAGCCTCCCTTTGACAGCACCTTCTTGCTTCCCAGGGAGAAAATGTGCTTTTCCTGGTGACCCATTTCATCGCCACAGTCCAGCAAGCCCAAGGCACCTGCCCCGAGGTGAGTGAATGGACCTGCCCCAGCCCAGCCCCACAGGGCTGAGATGGAGCCAGTGGTTCTGCTGCTCAACAGAACCCAGTGGAAGACCAGATAAAAGGGAAAATGGATTTATATTCCCACAAAACCCAATTCCCCTCATACTCACTCGGTCATAGTGCTCCCCAGCACATCTGCACTTGCTCTGTCATACCTTCATTGGCCAAGATGTGTATGCATATGCTCTACCAGAACTGTTTCTGTTGGCCAGGACAGGGGACATGGGGCCTCTCCAGCTCTGAACTCTTTGTGTGCTGGCACTGTATGACTATTCCAGGCTTTCCGCTGCCCTTGGACAAGAGGATGCCTTGACACACAATCCATGGATACCTGTGTCATGTTTCCTTGATAGCTCCCTGCTGCAGTACTAGTGTCCATCTTAGTGTCCTATTTTTAGGAGGAGCAGAGCACGAGGTCTAGATGGTTTTCCAGCTATCCCACACTTAATTGATTATGTTCTCTGAGAGAATTCTTCCCTTTAAGGCTGGAGTCAGGCCAGCTCCTCTGCTGAGCTCTCCCAGGCTGAACCCAGCTCAGCAGATGGGAGCACATGTCCTTTAAGCTGAACCACTGCTGGCACTTTGTACCCAAGTCAAGCCCCAATTGTCCTAATGGTCCTTTCAGCTCCTGCTGTGGCCAAATGCTGCAGAGGAGGAGAAACACTGGGTTTGGGTTGGGGAAAATGGCACCAATGATCCATCTCTAAAATGCTGAGAAATCCTAAGGTCCCAACAGGAAGGAAGACAACTGCTGTAGGGCATTTCGGGGTTCTCCCAGGCAGCCACAGGCACCTCCAGGTGCTGAGTTTGCAGTGTGCAAGCCGAGGACACGCAGAGCTGAGGATTGCATTCTGTTCCAGAGCTGGGGTGTGTGTGGGTGCCTGTCCCAGCCTACACCCCGTGCTAGTCTCCAAGAGCTCCTCAGTTCCTGGCACTGGGACTGTACATGACATTCATATTTGGAAAGCTTTGAATATTTAGCAGTGGCAGCTTTTGGCTTTGCAGCGAGTTTGAGTTGCCTTAATATTCTTGATGACCAGAGTATTTGGTGCTGGCAGATGAATTTGTCTATGGCCAGAGGCAGTGCTGAACATGAGCCGAGCTGTTTCAGCAGCTGTACATGCACTGAAGTCTTTGCATCCTTTTATCCCTTTATGTTCCTTTTCAGATTACCAAGTTCCCTCCTTCCCATGCCTTCTCTTCCTCCCATTCCCTAAACACCTGGTGCAATCCCCAGATGTTCTCCTGCATCCCATAATGATTCCAGATCCCTAGAATACCCTACACAGCCCAAAGATACTGCTCCTCTAAGATCACGTTGGTGGATTTTACACCTGAATGAATGGCTGTGCTGGGGCAGCCCAGGGAAGGCCTGAACAGACCCCACTTCTGAGCACATAACCGAGGATTTCCCTCCAGCATTTGGGCCTCTGTGCCCTCAGAGCTTGGGGAGTGGGTTTTTGATGAGCTGGTGACTCCTGTTATGGCCTGGGCTAGATGGGGGAGGTGTTAATGGCATTTCCCCAGCTACAATCATCTTTCTGTGTTTGAATAAGAGGTTTTTACTGCTCCTGACAATCAGGTAGGTCCAGAGTAAGGGTGAAGGTCTCTTGAAAAACTCATGCTAGAGTTAGGGTCTACTAAGCTCTTCCCCAGGGAATTCATCATGGTACTTTACAAGGTGCTTAACAGGCTCAGTCGTTAGGGCCCTCCTGAATCCCTCTGCGCTGGTTCCCAGTTCCATCTGGAAGGTCTGAGGTAGCTCCTGAGGCTTCCTCTGCCACTCAGCAGCAGGACACAAGTACTCTGGAGAGGAGAGATTGCCCTTTGGACATGCCTCTCTTCTGCCTGGCCAGAGGCTGGTGGATGTTCGTGTCTGTCTGGGGAGCACTTGGAGAAGCAGGAGCAGCAGTGCAACAATGCAGGGGAGTGACAGCATGGCCTCAGGCAGCTGCACAGCACAGTGACAGCACCTCTCTCTGTCCCTCCCAGAGTCCCTCTGTCCTCGACGGGATGTGCACAGAAGATGCAGATTGTCCCATGGGAAATCCTGTGGTTCATGGCAATGGTACTGTTTGATTTGCTAAAGAAACAAAATCCTGGAATGGTTTGGGTTAAAAAGGAACTTAAAGCTCATCCTGTTCCACCCCCTTCCACACCTCCCACTGTCCCAGGTTGCTCCAAGCCCCAATGTCCAGCCTGGCCTTGGGCACTGCCAGGGATCCAGGGGCAGCCCCAGCTGCTCTGGGCACCCTGTGCCAGGGCCTGCCCACCCTGCCAGGGAACCATTCCTGCCCAATATCCCATCTGAACCTGCCTCTGCCACTGGGACACCCTTCCCTGTGCCCTGTCTCTCCAGGCTCTTGTCCCAAGTCCCCCTCCAGCTCTCTTGGAGGCCCTTTAGGCACTGGAGGGGGCTCTGATATCTCTCCAAAGTCTTCTCCAGGTGATCAACCCCAACTCTCTCAGCCTGTCTTATATTGCCTTGTTTCTAGGGATAAAAACTGGGAAATGTTTGATGTTCAATGCCACCCATTCCACCTGTGAGATCTATGGCTGGTGTCCTGTGGAGAATAGCACCCTGCCCAGGTAATCACACATGAGGAGACAGCAGATATTGGGAGCTTTGGCTCTCTCCCTCTGTGTTACCAGGAGTCTGACCACATATGCTCTGGGAGACCTCTGACACTGACTTTCTGGTCAGTTAAACTCAGAGGGCGTCACCCAAGAGCATTTTTTGCACCTGTCCATTGTAGCCAAAATCTTGGGGTTGCAGGAGAGACTGCAGAGCTTGGGAAATAGGGCCTTGGCCACTGTGCAAGACTTGACTTTGTTGGTGGTTGTTTTCTAGGAAACCTCTTCTGGCTGAGGCAGAGAATTTCACTCTTTTTATAAAAAATACTGTCCACTTCACCAAATTTAACTTCTCCAAGTAAGTACAGTACTTCCCAGCTGGGCTGAGCATGCAGCCTGGTCCAGCCTTGGCACTGAGCCTGTGATGGGGCTGAGGAGCTGAAGCACTCGTGGAACCAGTGGCACCCAGGGCAGGTGGTGCTGGGGCAGTCAGGGCAGGACAGGTGTTGAGGTCACTTCAGCTGTCCTGGGAGTGCAGCTCTAAGAGCAGTGGGATGGGGACACCTCAGAGAGAGGGACGGGTGTCCATCTGCCCATGTAGAGCACTGCAGAGAGCTGGACGAGGCCAGCCATTCCCAAGCTCTCATTTGGAAGTGAAACTAATAGTTTTGTCTTTTAGTCCTTGCAAGGTGGTTTCACAGAAGGCAAGTAAAGGGCTGCACTGGCCCCACAGTTCCGGGCACGCTGGCTGTGCTGCCTTACCATGGCAGGAGATATGGCATGAACTGTCCCCGCTGTTATCGTAGCAGAGACCAGAGCTGGGTGCTGGGAAGAAACAAAGGAGCACAAAGAGGTGGAAGGGAAGGCCATGGCACATGCTGTAGAGGATAACTCCATGTGAGATTCCTCTGGGCTGGTTTGTCTCCACCCTCTTCCATCTGAGGCTTTAGGCGAGGCATTGACTGTCCCCCTCGCCGATGCAGGAGCACTGGCAGGCCCAATGCAACGGGAGGGTCCCCTTTGCAGTCCCACAGCTGGGCTCCATGACCTCCCACACCCCTGCCCCTCTCTCTCCTGTCTCAGGTGCAACACTTTACAAACCAGTGACCCCAGCTATTTCAAGAGCTGCACATATGATCCAGTCTTCAACCCCTCCTGCCCTGTGTTCCGTGTCCGTGACATAGTGGAGGCAGCTGGACAGAACTTTGGAGACCTTGCACTGCTGGTACTTGTTTTTTATACAACTATGGAAGGCAATTCAAAATTCCCCAAGAATGCAAGCAAGAAGCAGAGGACTGACCTGAAATGCTAAGGGAATATGTGATCTGGGAATGTCTGAACAGTTAATGACTCATCTAATCTGATTCCATGCTTCTCCTGGAATAAAATGTGTTTTGCAGGGGGGAAGCATCAGAGTTCTTATTGAGTGGAACTGCGACCTGGACCACCCTGCTACCCAGTGCCAACCACAGTATTCGTTCAGCCTGCAGGACATGAGGTACAATTTCAGGTGAGGATGCTGGGACAGTGGCCACACAGGCCTGTGGGATCAGCACATGGCAGTTGTTTGAGATTTCAGTTCTGATGGATGCTCTGAAAGGAGCAGCAGGGACAGGCAGTGTGCCTCAGTCAGTTCACAGATGACACTGAGCTGGGTGGGTGTGGATCTACTGGAAGGCAGGAAGCCCTGCAGAGGGAACTGGACAGGCTGGATCCATGTGCTGAGGCCAGTGGTGAGAGGTTCAACAAGGTCAAGTGCCAGATTCTGTCCTGGGGTCAGAACAATGCCATGGAATGTTCCAGGCTGGGGCACAGTGACTGGAAAGGTTCAGGCAGAAAGGGACCTGAAGATGAATGTGAACCCAGGTGTGCCCAGGTGGGCAGGAAGGCGAAGGGCACCTGATCTGTGCTGGCACTGCTGGGGCACCTCCAGTCCTGGCAGATCTGGACCCCTCCTGTCAAGAGAGACCTGGAGGGGCTGGAGCGTGTCCAGGGCAGGGAACGGAGCTGGGAAGGGGCTGGAGCCCCAGGAGAGGCTGAGGGAGCTGGGCAGGGGCTCAGCCTGGAGCAAAGGAGGCTCAGGGGGCCCTTGTGGCTCTGCACAGCTTCTGACAGGAGGGGACAGCCGGGGGGGTCAGGCTGTTCTCCCAGGCCCAACAAGGAGCCTTATTGGAGGGAACAGCCTGAAGTTGCACTAGATTGCATGTTAGAAAAAAATCTTTTCACTGAAAGGTTTATCCAGCCCTGATGCAGCTGCCCAGGGCAGTGGTGGAGTCCCTGTCCCTGGAGGGATTTAAAACCTCTGTAGATGTGGCACCTGGGGACATGGGTTAGTGCTGGGTTACTTGTTTGGACTTAAAGATCTTAGAGACCTTTAAGGCATTGGGAAATGGTAGCTCAGGGCAAGGCCTGTCAGTGCAGGGTTGCTGTGGCAATTCCCAGGCTTTGTAGCTCCTTTGTGTTTGGAGCGCAGCAGGGCATTACCTGCCTGAGGGCAGGGACCTGTGACTGTCCCCACCTGGGCTGGGTACACTGAGAGCTGCGTGCTCCCAGTGACCCAAACTGGATGCTGAGGGGATGCTGATGCCCCACTGCTGGTGCCAGTGAGTCATCACTGCACGTGTGTGCCCAGTCCCCAGCCTGGGGGGTTGGGGGCCAGCAATCCTTTGGCACTGGCACCCCCTTCCCTCCGTGCCTTTCTGAGCCATCCCACTGTCTCCCACAGAACTGCCTCCTACTACTGGGGCTCGCAGCGGCGGCTCTACCGGAACCTGCTGAAGCTCTACGGGATCCGCTTTGACCTCTCCGTGCACGGCCAGGTACCGGGAGCTCCCCGCCCCAGGGCTGACTCCTCACACCACGGCTCCCACCCTGCCCCCGTGGCTTCTGCTGCGCTCACTTCTCCCCACCTGGGTGAGCTCTTCACTTCTTCCCAGAGTTCTCTAAGCAGAGCAGGAGAAAACAGTCTCTCCTGTTTGAAGAAAAACCTTTTGGTAATGCCCTGAGAGGGGGGAGTTCCCTCTCTGAGGGTGTGACATGGGGGCCATGGAGTGTTCAGTAGGCAAGGTGAACTGGGCTTTGGGGTGTCCCTCTGACAGTCTTATGGTGGGAGCACCCTGACAAAGATCAACGTGAACTCTACTGAACCCGGACAATTAATCCCTTCTTGATTAAAAGTGCCCTCGGGGGGGAAAAGGTGTGGTGTGATTAAGGCCGGATGTGCCCCAGCCATGAGTGCTGAGAGCCCGGAAACACCCTGTGCCCTGCACTCCTCGGCACTGTGGGCAGGAGGTAAAGGGGGATTCTGCTTCTTTGCCCTGCTCGAGTGCAGTGCTGCACCTGCTCTGGTGTCCCCAACAAAAGGATTTGGAGCTGCTGGAGTGAGCCCAGAGGAGGCCATGGAGCTGCTCCAGGGCTGGAGCCCCTCTGCTCTGGAGCCAGGCTGGGAGAGCTGGGGGTGCTCACCTGGAGAGGAGAAGGCTCCAGGGAGAGCTCAGAGCCCCTTGCAGGGCCTGAAGGGGCTCCGGGAGAGCTGGAGAGGGACTGGGGACAAGGGATGGAGGGACAGGACACAGGGGGATGGCTTCTCAGGGTTAGTTGGGATATTGGGAAGAAATCCTTCCCTGTGAGTGTGATGATGCCCTGGCACAGGTTGCCCACAGAAGCTGTGGCTGCCCCTGGATCCCTGGAAATGTTCAAGGCCAGGTAGGATGGGGCTTGGAGTACCCTGGGGTAGTGGAAGGTGTCCCTGCCCATGGCAGGGGGTGGAATGAGATGAGCTTTAAGGTCTCTTCCAACCCAAACTATTCCATGTTTCCAAGATTGTTGATGCTACTCTGTGCAGCATCACTCACAAACTCAGTGCTTAGCTTTCCAAAGAGGGAGCTGTGCTGAGAGCACTGCCCACACTGAGAGATGTCCACAGCTGGTCTTTCATGTTCAGCAGTGCCCTTTGTACCTGAAGAAGGTGAAGCACACAGTGCAGGACACGGTGTGCCACTTCTAGGCTGAGAGAGCAGGTCCAGGAGCTGTGGAGCAGGAGAGAACAGCCAGAGGAGAAAGAACCAGACTCATTTGTGAAGGGAGGGATACATCACATCAGGGTTGTGTTTGCTGGGATGTGGTTCCATAGGTGGCAGCTGCAGCAAAGGGAAGTTCCTGCTGTGCCAGCAGGAGCAGGTGGGTCACAGTAACCTCTGCTGCTTCCAGGTCATCAGGGACCTCAGTCCCTTCTTTGACAACAAAGGGGGTTGGAGTCAGTACAACAGCATTTCCTACAAATCAGCATGGGGAAATACCCCTGGATCCTTCCAGCACCTCCTGACTTTGAGCATGCTGCCCCGCAAGCTTCTCACCCCTCTGACCACTCTTCACCCTCTCTCTTGCCCCTGCACTGTTTCTCACCAGGCTGGGAAGTTCAGCATTGTTCCTACTGCCGTGAGCTGTGGCACCAGCATTGCCTTCTTTGGTGCTGTGAGTACTCCAGACACACTCTTCTCCTTTGGTCCATGCCTTGGGAATTGCCACTTCTCCATTGTTTCCCTGCCTGCCTGGCACAAGGCTTCCTTAGTGGCAGCCAGCACAGAGGGGAGATGGTCTGGCAGGGTGTCAGCTCAGGTCTCCCTGTGACCATCAGTAATGACACCACTGCATTGGGATGCTGAGTGCTGGCAGGGTCACATCTCATGGTGGTCAGGTTTATGTGTGGATCCTGGGACAGAGCATCACTGGGATGCTGCTGGCAGGAGAGAGCAGCTCCTCTCTGCTTCTCCTCTGACTGAAGGGATGCAGTCTCCTGTCACTATGGTGGGGCAGCCCCTTGTGGAGCCCTTCTGTGGCTCTTCCCTTTCAGCAGAGTAACAGGGAGGTCCCCCACCTGTGCCCCTTTCCCCCCTGACACGCTCATCCCAGTCCAGATGTGACTGTGAAGGTGCTGGAACAGCCCTCCCTGCCCATCCATTGCAGCCTGGGGATCCTGTCTGACCTGTGCAGCTCCTGGGGGCAGGCTGGGTCAGAGAGGGGCCAGTGGAGCTGGCTGGAGGCAGGCCTGGCTCACTGCCCCAGCAAATGCCCACAGCTGGCTGCAGGGCGCAGGGGCAGCCAGGATGGAAGGCCAGGCATTGCTGTGGGAAGGTTCCCATCTTCAGTAACACTGTCTGTCTCCAGGCTACAATGGTCTGTGACCTGGTTCTGCTCTACCTTGATGCAAAGGCTGACCTTTATTGGAAGGAGAAATTTGAAGAGGTAAGGAGAGGGCCACATGGGAGAGAGGAGGTTTTGAAGTGACTCATTTTGGATTTAATGATTTTCTGCCCTTTGGTTAAAACTCAGTTCCCAAGATCAGGGGAAAACCTGGTGGAGCAGCTCTTAGTTTTCAACTTTTGGGCTTGGTTGCTAGTCTGAACTGGGAGAGGGATCCAGCTGGTGCTGGGAGTCAGGGAAAGTTGCACCATGACCTCAGCTACTGTCAAAACATCCATCAGTGGGTCACCATGGAGACCTTACCTGGAAAACTGACCCAGCTCTGTGCTTTTCACCCTCTTCCAAAGGGAATCTTATGGGACTCCGTGCAGAGAGGTGCCAGCTCCTCAGGGCACATCCTGATCCATGGTTCATTGACAGGTTCATGTGCTAAGCATGATTACATTGTGGGAATTCACTGCCCTGGTGAATCGGGGAGTCACAGGGAGGCTCCTACAGACCAGAAGAGCTGGCAGCCCTGCCTCAGGTCATTTCCAGCTTTGTCTGGCCAAGTCTTTGGAGCCTCTGAGGGCTGAGATCCCCCATCTCCTGGTGAACTGTCCCAAAGCTGCTCCACCCAATAAGGGGGGAAACTTTCCTAATGCCTGATCTCGAATCCAGAGTGGGGTGGGGGTCCTGGACAGTGAATCTGGTTGCATGGAACCAAGCAGAGTAGCCAAGGGCCACCTGGGCTGCCCCCATGCCTGCTGTATACTGATGTCCCTGTTCATTTTGCAGGCAAGACCCCCTAAAGGTAAGCCTAAGGCCACAGCTTAGGGACATCGGGAACGTTCCACCACGAATGCCCTTCCCTGCAGAGCCACCTGCAGGGGGATACGATGGGAACACGGCTGCAGCCCTGGTGGGGGAGGGCCGTGCTGGCCCAGGTGGGCACTGCTGGGGCTGGGGTCTGCCTTCCCTGCAGAAGCACTGGCAGCAACAGCAGCAGCAGCTCTTGGCTCCCGGGGCACCAAGCCATGCCGGGGCAGCTCCCAGCGCTGACAGCCGGTGCTGGAGCACAGCTGCCCACGGAGCTCCCCCAGAGGGGGCTGGGGAGCAGCTGCTTAAAGCATTTTGCATTTCTACATGTTCCAGTGATCATGGGCCTTGATTTCCCTTGAAAAACAGGGATGCAATGGAATAAAGCTGTTCTGGAAGTGGGAAGAGGTTTTGCTCTGTCTGTAGCCCCGAGGGACTGAAGGTTGTGGAGTGCTGCTCCTGCACCTCGTGGCACCCTTCCAGCTGGGATGGCTTCGTGTAGGTCACCTGGATCCTCAGAAGCTCCCTGGGAAGCTCCGGGAGGGTTTAGGAGGCACGTTTTAAGTTCCAGCCCTGGGCTGGTACTTCCTAGGGGTGTGCAGTGGCTCCTGCACCCTGATTGCTGCCTCCTGTCAGGGCTGATGCTCAGCAAGGACAGGCACAGCCCTGGCGTGAGCCGGAACATTTCAGGGGTGCTGACCCCTCCCTCCACTTTTCCCAGGCCGTGTTAGCTGGGGCAAGGCAGGGATCAGCTGGGCTGTGCCTGGGTGCTGTGCTGGGGCCTCCACAAAGCTCAGAAACAGTGTCTGTGGGTTCGAGCACTGTTTAATGCTCCTTGCCAGGACCAGCTGTGCGGGGTGGAGGGGTCATGCAGCATCAGCCCATCCCGGCTGCCTGTCCCCCTGTGCCCCCAGGCTCCAGCCGGGCCCTGCCACCCTCCTGGAACTGCCGCAGGTAGAACTGGGCCGCCAGCTGCTTGGTCATAGTCCTCAGCACCAGGAAGGCAGCCACGATCTCGAGGAGGAGGAAGGCCAGGAACAAGCTGTGCAGGGGCACCTCCAGCGGTAGGTGGATGACCTGCCTGTCTGACAGCAGGAAGAGCAGGAGGGGCAGCTGGATCAGGAAGGAGAGGAGCAGGAACCCAGCCAGCTCAGGCACCTGCAGGATCAGAACCTGCTGAGATAGGGCAAGGAGGCAGTGGTGGCCCGGGGAGACCCTCTCTGCCCCTGGAGGCTCCTGCGTTAGCCTCTGCTGGCCTTGGAACCCGGGCACCAGGGATGTCCCTGCTCCATTGAGCTGTGGTCACATGCTGTCCCACCCCCCCGTGGAGGGACAGAGCAGGAGGGCAAATGGGTCCCCTTCATCCCTCTCTTCAGGTCAGGCCTTTACCCACGATTCTCTTCTAGGACAGCTCCAGGTAGACCTCCAAAGAAAGGACAGTGACGGGCACATGGCTCCTAAGCGAGGGGATATCCAGTGCTTACCTTCTCCTGGAGGTTCCCCAGGTAGCCCAGGTAGAGGCGGGAGCCCTCAGCCAGCGAGAGGATGAGGAAGGCTGCGACCAGCAGGAACTGATAGTGCCATGGCAGCAGGTGGTACTGTTATGGGGGCACAGCCTTGTCCAAGGCCGGCTGTCCATGCCCAGCTTCCCTTTCCCTGTGCACGCCCAGCTCCCTGTGCCCTCCTCCCCATACCCAGCTCTCCATGCTCTGCCAGCTCTCACCATGCTGGTGCCCAGCTCTGCCTACTCTTCCCCCCCATTTTGACCATTCCTGCCTGGAAAGTTTTCATGATTTCTATCTCTAGCAGAGATGAGCAATCTTTTCTCCTGGGGGTCAGGGCATTTTGGGGATCCATTAATTCTGAAGAGGCTCCTCTATCTCCTGCCCCCTTTGTCCCCCACCCATGCCTAGGGAGACATGGCAGGAGCAGCTCCCCCCATCCCTGCGTACCCCATGGGATGGTACCTTCAGGTGCAGCATAATCCCCTCAGCCAGGCACCAGACTGGGAAGTAGTAGACGTTGAAGTAGAGCATCACCTGGAGGGGCAGGCTGGACAGCACCTTGTGAGCTAGGCAGGACAGGCAGGGATGGGCAGGCTGCTCACCAGCCGCGGGGTCCCCCTGCCCAGAGGGGCCCCCCTCACAGCTTGAGGGGAGCGACAGACCCTGGCTCCCACAAGCAGCTGATTGCAGCAAATGTTCTTAGTTTTACTCCCCTCCCTGGTGGGTGGGTTCAGGGACCCTTTGGGGCTTTGGTGTGTGCAGAGCAGGGCCATGGGGATGGACAGACAGCCCCTGTTCCCAAGCCCCCCCTGCAGAGCCCCGTGCCCATACCTGGCTGAGAGCTGGGGGCAGTGCCGCTGTCCCACGTCTTGTTGTTGATGAAGAGGGAGCCACTGAAGACCACCAGGCCCCGGCGCAGGCTGGGGGGCAGCGGGGTGGGCACAGCCATGGGCTGTGAGCCCTGTGAGCAGCTGAGCCTGCTCAGCACAGCCCGGCTCAGCCCGGATTAGCCAGGAGGGAATCAGTGAGGTGACGGGCCAGGCTAATGCGCAGGGCCACGCGGCCATTGGCTCCCTGGGGACAGGGCTGCTGATCTGGAAGGGGGATCTGGGAAAGAATTCCCACCTTGGAACACCAAGCCCGTGCAGGAATCACAAGGTGGAGTTGCCAGGAAATCACAAGTCACAGAGCATCTCCCCTCAACAGCATCTCCAGGGGGTGACAGCAGCCTGTACCTGTCACTGTGACTTGCAGCAATTGCACCCTCTCCCAGCCAGGCTCTATCAACACAAATATTGCTCAAAAACTCCTGACAGATGAGGATGCCTCATGAGAGGATGGTACTCTTCACCTGAAATGCTTTTTCAAGGCCTCCAGGTTCATGGAGCATTTACCCATCACTGTGAGTTCCTCAAGCCCCATCCAGGCTCAGGGGTGCTGGAGGGCAGTGGGGGATGATGTATTAGGGGGTGGCTGAGCCAGAGGTGAATGAGAGGAAAACGTTCTTCAGGAACTTCAAGTTTAAAATCACAAAATTATTAAGGTGGGAAAACCCCTCTAAGATCATCAGGTCAAATTATTATCCCAGCACTGCCAGGGTCACCACTAAACCATATCCCCAGGTGCTACATCTACACATTTTTTTGAACACTTCCAGGGATGAGGACTCCACTGCTGCCCTGGGAAGCCTGTATAAAAGCTGGACAAACCTTTCTGTGAAAAAATATTCCCCAAAACCCACCCTGCCCCTGTCCTGGCCCAGCCTGAGGCCGTTCCCTCTGCTCCTGTCCCTGTTCCCTGGAGCACAGCCCGACCCCCCCGGCTGTCCCCTCCTGTCAGGAGCTGTGCAGAGCCACAAGGGCCCCCTGAGCCTCCTTTGCTCCAGGCTGAGCCCCTGCCCAGCTCCCTCAGCCTCTCCTGGGGCTCCAGCCCATTCCCAGCACTGCAGCCTTCTCTGGACACACTCTGTAAATGTCAGTCAGTTCTACCCAACAGATCTGGTCTCACCTCATGATCTTCAGCCTCCAACTCACCCCATAAGGTGCATCAGAGAAGCCGCTTCAAACAGTGGGAGCAAGTGCTATAAATGAGGTCCGTAAAGGGCCAGGAACTGTCAAGGAACACAAGAAACCAAAGAGATGATTCTTTTCCTGGATAAAGCTAAAGTGAAATTGCAGAGCTCACTGCCATATTCTGCCAAAACCAAACCATCGGGGACTGAAAGCATGGTTAAACCAGCATCTGACCAGCTGAAGTTGTAGGATCACAGAATGGTTTGGCTTGGAAGAGACCTGAAAGCCCATCTCATCCCACCCCTGCCATGGGCAGGGACACCTTCCACTGTCCCAGGCTGCTCCCAGCCCCAATGTCCAGCCTGGCCTTGGACAGGTCCAGGGATCCAGGGGCAGCCACAGCTGCTCTGGGCACCCTGTGCCAGGGCCTGTCCACCCTCACAAGGAAGAATTTCTTCACTATATCCCATCTTCTTCCCAATATTCCAACTTGCTCTTGTCCTATTCCTCCATCCCTTGTCCCCAGTCCCTCTCCAGCTCTCCTGGAGCCCCTTCAGGCCCTGCAAGGGGCTCTGAGCTCTCCCTGGAGCCTTCTTCTCTCCAGCTGAGCACCCCCAGCCCTCCTGGCTGGGCTCCAGCCTTCAGAGGATCTCTGTGGCCTCCTCTGAACTTGTTCCAGCAGCTCCAGGTCCTTCCTGTGCTGGGACCCTAGAGCCGGATGCAGTTCTCCAGATGGGATCTCACCTGCATGGGGCAGAGGCAAAGCCCTAGCTGTCCCCCAAGTCCTGCCAGCACACAAGTGAGACATGAGCAGGGTGACAGGCACGGCCCCAGAATCTGAGGAGCAGAAGCTGGTGGAGAGCTCAGGATCTGGGGGCATCGGGTCTGCATGGGCAGGCAAGGTGAGCAACCAAGATGATACCTGGGCAGTCTGGTGGAGGTAATGACACGGGGCATGTGCCCCAGCTGGGCTCTCATTCCTCATGGGAACAGCCAGCTTATTAAGAAGAGATGGAAACTTTCTGTCCTGGCATTAGAGATTGCAAGACGGGCCTGGAAAAGTGGCAGAGAACACAACCCAGGCTTGCCCAGCTCCAGGACAGACTCACCACCAGGAAGCATTTGCCAAGGCACTGGATAAGGAGTCCCAGGTTCAACACCACCCCACACCTGTGCAGAGGAGCAATCGCCATCTGAGCCAGCCCTGTCCATGACCTGACACACGTCCCAAGGAAAGCTACAGCGGTGACTGGGATTTCTTGAGTCATGGGTGATATTTCCAGCCCTGGTTGAAACAACTCCTCCGTAAAAAGCAGGGAATGGGACTTGTTACCCCCACTGCAGCTGTGGGCTGGGACAGAAGGTCCTTCCTCAGCCCCTGAGTGGTCTTCAGCCCTGTGAACATGGTGGTGATGCCCATTTTATGCAACTCATGCCCAATACTGGATGAGGCCCCATCAGAGGCAAAGGAGGTCAAAAAGCATCTTCCTGAAAAGCAAAGTGCTCTGCCACTGTGTCCCCAGAGTAGCAAAGTCGTGCTGGGGGGGCTGCCAGTCTCACCCAGCATGGAGAATATGACAGAGAACTTGGGGAAAACACACAGCTGAAGGGAATGCCACCCTGTGGTGCCGCAGAGCCCTGGCACTCCAGCTGGGTCCCCTGGGGAGCTACCAAAGCTGAGTCCAACTATCCCACCAGCAGGACACAGGATACAGAGCCAGATCTTTGTGGGTAGTGGGCAGAGCTGAGGCAGCACCTGGGCAGCTGCCTCCACCTGGGCAGTGCCCCCACCCTAGGCCACCCTGGAACAGCCCTGCCTGGGGCACCAAGATCTGAGCAGCTCCAGCCACCCCTGCCCTCGGAGGAGGACCTGTGGACATTTGTCTTTCAGAGCCTGAGACGAGACTTGCAAGTTCCCATCGCTTTGTGGATCCAGCAGACACACAGTGGTCCCTGTTCATCACAGGATGTGTGCTGGAGAGTGCACATCCTGCTACCACCCCTCCTGGTCATTCCATCTGGGAAAAGCTCCGCAGTGAAGCCAGGAGAGACCAACCAGAGATGTGATAGATACTGGGGCATTTCTACCCAGCCAAGATCTGAAATACTGGAAATACAGGTGAGCTGGACACAGGTGGGAAGTCTCCAGAGAAGAGGTTGTTGAATAACCTGGCCAACATGCAGAGGTGACCCAAGGTCTTGGAAAGAATCAGAAATGACCCAGACCCCAAGAATAGTATTGCTTTAATTCACAGGGGGTGAATCAAATTAAAAATATAAATCCTCTTGTTTGGGACGCAGGGTAAAACACTGCTGGGGAAGGAGATGCGCCCAGAACAAAGCACTGGAGTCTCTCCAAGGGGGACTCTCAACGCCCACTCTGCTGGGCTGATGGACTCTGGACTGGCCAGGTCCACTCCTGAGCTGGAGACATGGCTCTTCTTCAGCATGGGGCCAGAAACAGGACAGCAGAGTACGAGCATGGTGGGCTATGCAGGTTTGTCACTACACTGGACAAGTGCCAGAGAATGGACAGCCAGAAATGCTCCCCCAGCTACTTTTCCTCGAATAACACCTCAGCAGCAGCACTGATCCCATGATAGCATTAAGGAGAGATATCCCAAGGCTGGCTGGAAGGGTGGCCACCCAGCCCAGGGCTGCAGCTGAGCCATCACAGCTCTCAGGTACCCCTGCAATGCACTCCGGCAATGGGCCCGAGAGCTGCCAGTGCCCCAGCCCAGACCAAGCCCCAGGAGACAGGGAACAAACCCCAGCCCCTTGGCTGCTCCAGGATAGGAGACTCTGGGATGGGGACTGATGAGCTCCAGAGCCCTTAGCATGGACAGAGACCCACCTCTACTGGTGGGGCTGCACAGGACCAGCCTGGACAACACAAGCACCAGCTGCACAGAGATCACCCAGGGTAATCTCCTGGCCCACCCAGACGCCCCCGGGGGTGGGTGGGCACAGGGAGAGCTGTGGCAAAAGCGGCAGCCATGCAGGCAAGGAGCGGATGTCAGGCTCCGCAGGGATGCGCGCTGGAGCTCTGCTGGGAGCAAAGAGAATTTGGAAAGGAGCATCATGCATGCAAGCACAGGAGCAACCAAAGGCACTCGTGCTGCTTATGGGAGTGAGGGACATGCGTGGGGCACACCCGCCTGGGGACCCTCAGCCCTATGGCAGCGTCCAGAGCCATATGGCGCCCATGCCCTCTGCCAGTGCCAAGCCTCACGCTCTCTGTGGGCTGCTTTTCCAGCATTCCACAGCAATTGCAACAGCAGAGCCCCATCCCCAGCCCAGCAGGCACAGGGGCAGAGGAGCTGTGTGAGATCCTCCTGGAAGACTTGAAGGCAGGTTCATCAATGTCTCAAAGGGAAATAGCTGAGCCATGGGGTTCCCACCAGGCCATGGAGCTGCTGTCCCATCTCCCCACGGCGAGTGCAGCATCAGGAGAGCTCAGCCAGCCGTGGCTTTAGGTGCCCTTCCCTGTTAGCCATGACATGTCTCCAGTTCTAAAAGAGAGAAAAACAACAGCGCTGTGAGGGGTTTCTCAACGTGCACAGGCAAATGCTTTTGGTGTGCCTTGGTGCTAGTCCAGTACTTGGTGTCCATCCCAGCAATCAGCTGCCTCCTCTGCCCTCACATCTGTCACTAAACTGTCCAAAAAGTCACCTGCAGATCCTCAATTCTGTGTAAAACTGAGTTCAAACATTTTATTTATTTATACTTAAAAGCTGCCCTTCAGCTGGAAGTCCATGGAAAGCTGCCAAACCGCAGCCAAGCAAGGTGCCAGCCAACAGGATCTGTGCTGGATGTGGCTCCTGGCAGCCCCAGCCCTATGACCCAGCATTGCCCCCCATGTGAGGGGGAAGCAAAATAAGGACACCCGCCCTGTAACCAGTGTCTCCACATGGGAATGAGGGATATGGCCCAGTCA